CCCCAAAACCCCAAAACCCCAAAACCCCAAAACCCCATGTGATCATTTACAGGAATGCAGTTGTATTTAAAATTATAACAGTAAATATCTATAAATCGAAATATATATTCAATGATAATTTCATTTGGCAGCCTATACTACAGCTGGAAGTCTTGATCTAATTTCCTTTAGCGTATTAATAACTTCCTCGTTTTGAGTTTGTTATTCTTTTTTCTACACAAAATTATATAACAGATTAATTACTTACCAATTTATGAAGATCATCACTGACTTCTAAAAGTTTATTCTATATTTCTACCTAAGGATCCTGTATTTCTTGATCTTAAAGTTCTCTTGCCATTACTAGATACTGATTCTTTCCTCCGAAACTCTTCTTTTTCCATTTAGGTATTAAGTAACTATTTTCAGCAATAATTCTTGCCCTTTCTTGGTAGTTAGCTTGCTCTGAGTTTTAGTTGATGATCTCAAATGCCTCAGAGATAATAGCAATCAAAAGATTGAGCATGACCACATTAGTTAAAATTAAACATATAGAAAATAGAATCCATAGCAGTGTAGGTTAAACTGTATTATTAAAAGTGTCAGTTTAAGTATCTCCAATAGCAAGCCTCAAGGTATAAACGAAAGCATCAGCATAGTTAAGTATAAAACTATCCTCGCCACTCATCTCTGAGAATCTTAAGAATGCTTCTCCGAATGCAATCATAACAATGCACAATACTACTAAGAATACTCTCATACTGGAGATAACTTCAGTCAGCATTCTTATCAAATAACCTGTTTGTTTAAATATTCTCAAGAAATAGAGCAGTTTAGCCCACATTAAAAGACTTGCGATTGCATGTATACATGCCAGAGCTGCCAAATCCACACCTCCTTTGTGACTAATAGATACATGTCCATCATCTTCAGGCACATCATCAACTGTATCAAAATTAATAATACTAAAGTTACCTTGTTATAGTTTTAGATGTATAGAGACTATGACTATAATAAAGATAGGAGGAATAATGTCAGCATAGTTCCAAATTGAGGAAAGGTAGTCTAAACCTGACATGTAAATTTGCCTGATTTCATTTTGTAGAAAATATATGCTCATTAAGTACAGGAATGCAGATATTACTCTGTCTCCTACAAGCGCACTATCAGTCTATTCAGTTTAGCCATTGAATACATTAGAGTAGATGATAAATAGCAAGTGGTAAAATAGAAATGGAAGAAATAGCAATTTAATGGTCTATTCCTTTGCTAAAGGCCATTTGTGGTCTATGATTGCTTGTATACTTTTATGCTTGAAGATATCTATTTTCTTACAGTCTGCTAATGCTTCAAAGAACTGCTCACTTACTTTTTCTTGATAGCAATGAACAGATGGAACGTCCAATAACTCTAAGACGACTTCAGAATCAATGTTTGATTGCATAAAGAACTTCTTTTAAATATGATCAGAGTCTGGCCACAGTTCAACAGTGTTAACAGCATAATCTAGTCCATTTTGATATTTTATTGCTCCTCTTCTAAAATCTTTCAATTAGTCTGTCTATTTTATTCTACTATCTAAGTAGACTCCTAGAATAGGTAGCTCTGCCTCTACCAAGTCTGGAAGAATATCAGATATTTATCTACTATGACTATCAATAGGACTGTTACACAGCTTCTGTAGAATTATATCTGCCGATTTAAAGTTTTGATTTTAAAGGCACATGTGAATGGCTGTTTTACCTTCAAAGTTTCTCACAAAAGGAATTTAGAAAGGCATTACAGATTCATGGTCCTCTGCTGACTCTAGTTTTCGCTTATATTCCTATTCCATCACCTTATAAAATCTTCTAATAATATAGAGCTGCTTATGTGCATAATGAAGTACAGTGTTACCATATGGGAATATATTCAGTGCTAGGAGCTCAAGATCTTTGGCTTGGTAACGTTTTATGTTAAACTTCGGTTGATCTCTCATCATCTCAGCCAGTTTCCAGTGAAAGTATGAAAAACTAAGGTCAGCTACAAGTTTGCCATTGCAGTTATCGATGTTATAATCAACTTTAAATAGTACTTCATACAAATCAAAAGGTGATCTTAAATTGTCTGAATAATAAGCTTCATAGTATTCCTGAAATTTCCTTTGTAACCTTTCCTTGGTCTTATGTTCTTCAGTGATACTGACATCGTAATAAAAATGACCTGGCATATTTTCGTCTTTTAAGTAATGAGCGTCTACCATAGGAACTGAACAGTAAGATATTTCCTTAAAATTATCATTAATGTCAACTGTCTTTTCAAATCCCTCAATATTCATGATTCTGATCTTGGAGTTATCAACCCATTTGAATTTTTTTGCTATGAGCTTAACTTTCTCTTTTGAAGGGTTCATAAGACCCTAGGGTATTAATCTGTGGTTTTATTAATCGAAAGTTGTCTTAATGACGAACATATTATCATCCTTATCATAGTCTAGATAGTATTAAAGATTTGGAGAAAATAGAAAATTAGCATTTGTGCATTCAGACAAATCTTAAGGGAATTATTTTAATCTTCTTATCAAGACCCATCTAATCTCTCCCGGAATCAGAGTTTCCTCTCTCTTATAAAAGAAAACTCTTTGATTTTGTATTCTTTCAAGCATGAATTGCAAATCATCACTAAAGAACATTCTTTAGTACCTGCCTTCCCCATAATTAGGGTGAACAAATGAAAAATGCTCTTCTATTTCTTAACTATTAATAATTTCTATAACTTTATATCGAAGAAACTTTTTTTCTTCTATCTTTACGTAAGAAACGTTATTCTACAGTGAACATGTCAATCTGTCTCCAAAATATTCTGCTTAGTTAATATCAACAGGATGATTATGGTCAACAAGGAGAACTCTGGGCTGATACCATGACGCTTTATAAGTGATATCATTCTTTTCCCATGCAAATATAGAGTAACTGCTATTATCTGCTGACTTGTGAAGTGTATTATGCTCAAGAATTTTGCCTGTCTGAATACTCCAGGTTGTAAGAGTACCTTTTTTATCAAGTGCAATCAGCTTGTCCTTTTACTTTTTGAAAGCTAAGTACTTCTTTCTCTCTCTCATTCCAATAAAACCTATAGCACATCTATGTAGAACTGGCACAATCTTTATAGAGTCATAATTAGACATATATGCTATCCTCTAATCTTCTTTATAGTAATCTAGTAAATCATTACACCCTACTATTGCTCCTTTGAGCTTGAAGTTACTTGCATCCTTTCCTTGTTTTTCCAAGAACTGATTTGCATTCTGAATGTAAAACCCAGAGCTCTTCTGAATTTCAGACTCATTCGATAATGAGTAAACATACTCATCATCAATAACTTAGAGGCTTTAAATCATCATATCTTTGAGAATAGTAATAGTGCCATTCTCAACTCTGAGCTTGAATAAATCTTTGTCTCCAATCAAGAGCACCTGCTCCTCATTCTTGGTGGCAACCATAGTATGAAGTTTCTCATTTACTTTCTCTGGCTCATTAAACTTAAACCTTCTTTTCAGTTACACATTCATTTACCCATCCTTATCTTAAGCTTAATTTGTGAAAGTTTTAATAATCTTCTCAGATTTGCTCAGAATCACAAAATCTTCTTGTAAATCAGTAGAAATAAATCTAATAAGCTCATCTCCCTCTTTGAATTAGGTTGCCCCGTTAAGATCGATTACCTAATCTTTTTGAAACCCTGTTATCTTAGTCTTGCCTTAAGATATCCTGGTCAGTATATAATGAGAAGCCATATCTCTCCAATCTGAAACTATCATTTCAAGTTTTCCTTCAATCTTGTGAATCTTATCTGAAAGTACCCATGTTTCTGAGGAAGCATCAGCAGGATCTATCATTCTTATATCTCCATTTTCTAGATAGGCACCAACGTTGAGCTCATTATGTTTTGTCTTTTTCTAATTTCTCAGCAGCTCAATAACATCTGAAGGAAAGAAGAAATGTATCTTCCATTCTTTTTTTACTATGTCAAAGATCGATACGACTTTGTTGTAAGCTACGAAAAAACTAGTATTAACTAGGTTAATTTTTGTGAAAATCTTCACTTGATATCTAATTATGTCATAGAATATTTCTTTCCACTTGCTGACTCTGAAATTCACCACTTCTGAGACATCAATTCCCAATCTCTGTTCGTGCTCAAGACTGATAGAGAGCATCTTACCAAGATCGTTACCATCCTTATCTCTCTCACTTGTGAATCTTTTTATAAATAGTGCCTTGAAATTAATCTCAATATCTTGAAATCTCTCTATATTTGTTGTTAATTCACTAAATATATTCTTGTTTACCTTCTGGCGAGTTAGTAAGTGTAAAGTTCCAATAGAGGTCAACTGAACCAGACTATCTAAGAGCTATTCCAAATTAAATCTCATTTTTTTATATCACATGCTTAAATTTTATGATTGGGTCATCCCTTACATCATTCCTTTTTACAACTTCTCTGTATTAGTAGAATTCAACATCTAATTTGGTCAGATCTTTGCTCCAGAAGTAAAGTCTGGTGAAGTCTATCTAATTATCATCTGTCTCAATCCCCATCATCAAATAGTCTCCATCTCTGGAGAAGGAATTCTCAAAAATATTGAGTATCTTGCAGGGTTAATTTATAACATAAGTAGCGTATTATTATGTCTAAGGAGAATATTCTATCTACCCTCCTTTTGGTGGTGTAACTTTCAATTCAATAATCTTGATTTCCTTCGCGTTGGCATAATAGAAAAATTACTTCTGGATTCCCATATTTTTGACTAAGTGTAATTTGTTAAGATAAAAGAAGTTCAAATATCATATCAAATTAGAGAAGTTTAATCGATAAAATGATGAATAATTATTTCAGAAATATCTATGAGCACAACTTACATGAGGAATCATCGATGGAGATATCTTTTATTTTTACAACACCATATTCTTGTTTGAAGTAGACTATGTATATCCAGTCAGAATCTTTTTCCCTAGGGTCGAGTTTGAAGAAAAAGTAATCATAAAATATGTTCCAACACACAATATCGTCTACAAATCACTGTTAAATCAAATTTTTAAGACGTGATCGTTACATTAAAGTATGCGCTCAAAAATATTTTCACAAGTTTTATCATATATTTACAGCATAAAATTGCCCCCGTAGTGTTCCTTGAGTTTAGGATCCACAATCTCTACAATAATAGGTATGTATTCCATTCCTTGATGATAGCTGCATGTTTTCTTAATCTGAAGAAGCTCTAAAATTGATGATTACTCAGGAATGCTCTATATTACAATTCAGCTGCACTTCATAAGCAATTGACTTGAGAAAACGCTTGGTTACCATTTCCTCCTAAAGATACTTCTTGTGGAAAGTGTCTTTGAATTTAGCACTGTCTAAAACTCAAAATCAGTTACAGTTAAGAACTTACCAGACATAATCTTGAAATTTTTCATTTTTAACAATATTCACTTCAATTAAAAATAGAATTTTAAATAATCTCACAAGCTATTCTCTACTTATTCTCATGGGGTTTTGGGGTTTTGGGGTTTTGGGG